CACACGGGGGGCACAGGGATAGCAGCACACAGGGAACACAGGGCACACGGGTGGCAGTGCATGGGGGACACGGGACAGAAAGGATGGTAGCACACGGGGCACAGGGATGGCAGCACACAGGGAACACAGGGCACATGGGTGGCAGCACACGGGGGGCACAGGGCACACGGGGGTAGCAGCGCACGGGGCGCACAGGACAGAAGGGATGGTAGCACACGGGGGGCACAGGGATGGCAGCACACAGGGAACACAGGGCACACGGGTGGCAGTGCATGGGGGACACGGGACAGAAAGGATGGTAGCACACGGGGCACAGGGATGGCAGCACACAGGGAACACAGGGCACATGGGTGGCAGCACACGGGGGGCACAGGGCACAGGGATGGCAGCATACGGGGGCACAAAGCACACAGGGGTCGCAGCGCACAGGGCACACGGGTGGCAGCACACAGGAGACACAGGACACACAGGGGGGGCAGCACACGGGGCGCACACGGCAACAACGGGACGGAAAGGATGATAGCACACAGGGGGCACAGGGATGGCAGCACACAGGGAACACAGGGCACATGGGTGGCAGCACACGGGGGACGTGGGACACAGGGATGGCAGCACACGGAACTCAGGGGACACGAGACACAAGGACGGCAGCACACGGGGGACACGGGACACAGAGGTGAAAGCACACGGGGGGGCACAGGGTTGGCAGCATAGAGGGGACATGGGACACAGAGGTGACAGCACACGGGAGACACAGGGCACCAGGGATGGCAGCACACAAAGGACGTGAATACAGGGGTGGCAGCACACGCGGAACACAGGGCACATAGGGATGGCAGCATACGTGGGACATGGCACACAGGACAGAAGGGATGGCAACACACAGGGGACACGGGACACACAGGGCACCAGGGATGACAGGATACTGGGGACACAGGGATGGCAGCATACAGGAGACACAGGACATCAGGGATGGCAGCACACAGGGTACACAGGGCACACATGGCACCAGGGATGGCAGCACACACAGGGACACAGGTGAGACCTTCCAGTACCTAAAGGGGCTACAGGAAAGCTGGAGAGGGGCTTTGGACACAGGGCAATGGCTTTAAACTGAAAGAGGGGAAATTTCAATGGGATCTGAGGAAGAAATTCTTCCCTCTGAGGGTGCTGAGGCACTGGCACAGGTTGCCCAGAGAAGCTGTGGCTGCCCCATCCCTGGCAGTGTTCAAGCCATTCCATGACTCTATATGGGACACCGGTGGCTTACGGGACACATGGCACAGGGCAGCACACTGGAAGGCACTGAACAGAGGGGTCATGGGCCACAGCAGGGAGAGGGGCACACAGGACACTGAGCACACAGTGCACTGGGCATGGAGAAGGCTGGTACAAGGGACACACGGCACCAGGGATGGTACCGCACAGGGCACACAGCACCTGGCACCAGGCTTATGGGACACCACATGCCCAGCACCAGGCACACATAGCCCCAGCTGTGCCAGTACCAGGCACATGGACCTCTGGGGATGGCAGCACAGGGACAACAGACACACAGGACACCGGGCACCCCCAGCACCAGGCAGGGAGGGCTCTGGGGATGGCAGCACACCATGCACACAGGGTCCTGGGCACACCAGCACAGGGGACATGGTGCACGCGCCCAGCACCAGTCATCATGCACAGCAGGTATCCCAACAGTGCATGGACCCCCCAGGACACGCCGGGCACACAGCAACCAGGCCCAAGACATGCCCACACCAGGGCACAACTTGACACCAGGCTCCTCGTGCACCTGCACACAGGGGACGTCGGGCACAGGGCACCACACGCAGCCAGGAAAACTGGCACTGGAGCTGGGTGCTGCTGCAGCTTCGTCTGGTGCTCGCAGTGCAATGCAGAGGCACTTCCCATCTGCGCAGCATTGGCACCGTACGACTTGAACCCGGACCCTGGACTCTGGCACTGTGCCACATCCATGTGCCCAGTTGGAAATGCCATCTTCCCTTTCCACAGGCCACCCTCAGCACGGCCCCGGCTCCCAAGGACCCAAATAATCAGCTGAAGTGACCCGTGCGGGATATCCAGAGCAACGAAGGGGCAAAGAGGGAGGAAATTCCGCCCCAAACCAGCAATTCCTGGATGCTTCCCGGTGATTCGTCCTGTTGTTGGGGTTTTTTTGGAAAGACTGACTGGGGTCTCTACCTTGGGAAAGGTTGGACCTTCATTCCAACCCCGAAACGTGGGTCACCCCGTCTCGAGGCCTTTCACAGAATCATGGAATCATCTGGTTGGAAGAGACCCTCAAGATCATCAAGTCCAACCGTTCCCCCTGCACTGTCAGGGTCCCTAAACCATGTTCCTCAACACCAAATCCACACGGTTTCTAAACACCTCCAGGGATGGGGACTCCACCACCTCCCTGGGCAGCCTGTTCCAACACTTCACAACCCTCTCTGGAAAGAAATTCTTCCTGATATCTGACCTAAATTTCCCGTGGCGCAACTTGAGGCCATTCCCTCTCGTCCTGTCATTCCTAATGTGGGAGAAGAGACCGACCCCCATCTCCCTACAACTTCCTTTCAGGTAATTGTAGAGAGCGACAAGGTCCCCCCTGAGCCTCCTCTTCTCCAGACTGACCAGTCCCAGCTCCCTCAGCCACTCCTCACAGGACAAGTTCTCCAAACCCTTCACTAGTTTTGTTGCTCTCCTCTGAACCCGCTCCAGCACCTCAACGTCCTTGAAGTGAGGGGCCCAAAACTGGACACAGTACTCCAGGTGTGGCCTTCTACAGAGGGGACAAAGAAGGGAAATATCCTGACATCTCACGACAAAACCACTCCGGAGACGCTGCACTTTGCAGAGAAAAGCCACCACCCCATCCTCGAGCCCAATCTTGATCTTTATTAGTCACAGTCTCAGAGGGGTTCCATTTTGCTTCTAGATCTTGTTGAAAGCAGCAATGTCAACGCTCTGCACCTGAAACGGAAGGAAAGCCACAAGCGAGAGGTCACCAAGGTGTTTCCAGATGTTCACGACAACCAAAAAAAGCCCTCATGTCCGGGATTTCTTCACCCTCAAACGGATCTAGCATGGCCTAGATCTCCTCACTCCACTAAGAGAACTTCAAGGACTGTTAATTAATTATTTCTTGCAACATCATAGAATTATAGAATGGTTTGAGTTGGAAGGGACCTCAAAGATCATCCAGTTCCATCAGTCACAACAGGACACTGCACTGTGCTGGTTTCTGCACAAATCCTTAGACCATCCTACAACGACTTTCTAGCAATGTCAAGGTGAAAGTTCCTGATTTACTCTAAATATAAGCAAAAAAAAAAGGTCAAGATCATCAATAAAAATTCCATTTCCATGGAAGAAGGATGGGGATGGAGACGTCTCCTCCTTAACTAAGGTTAAACATTTGTGTGGCTGACGCTGGTGCTGCCCATGCTGAATAAAATAAAAACGTGAAAGGTTTGAGGTTCCTCAAAGGAACAGGCAGTGGGGGCTGGAGGAGCATCACGAGCCTGGAAAACAGCTCCACAAAAGATCTGCAAGATCTCTGCATCAGCCAGAAGTGTCTCAGCAGGCAGACACCATCAATTCCATGAGGTTTTCTCTGGAAAAAAGATCCAAGTTTGGCAAAATCTGCAAATGAAGGGTAGTTAAGAGTGACCCCGTGCGGGTCAGGCATCACCCAGAGCTTGCTGAAAGACTTACGTAGTCTTCAAACTTGGTGATCTCCTCCTCCAGGATGTCCGTCCCGACTTTGTCATCCTCCACTACGCAAGAGATTTGGAGCTTCTTAATGCCGTAGCCTACTGGGACCAGCTTGGAGGCTCCCCACACCAGCCCGTCCATGTGCACCGACCGGACGCACTCCTCCATCTTCGTCATGTCCGTCTCATCATCCCACTGCAACAGCGCCAAGGATCAACGTCAGTGTTTTCCTACGGATCACCGTTAGCCCCAAGAGGCATCCAGTGGTTTGAAATTCAACACTACACCACTCAGGACCTTTCAGATATCATGGAACGGGTTGGGTTGGAGGGACCTCACGGACCATCCAGTTCCAACCCACCCCCCCTGCCATGGGCAGGGACACCGTCCACTACACCAGGTTGCTCAAAGCCTCATCCAACCTGGCCTGGAACACTTCCAGGGATGGGGCAGCCACAGCTCCTCTGGGCAACCTGTCCCAGTGCCTCACCATTAGCTGATGGGTCAGTTGAGCGCTTTGGCTACTCACCGGTTTCACGTCCAGAAGGATTGAAGACTTGGCAATAAGACCCGGTTTCTTGGCCTTCTTCTCTGCGTACTGACGCAGTCTCTCCTCCCGGATTTTGGCAGCCTCTTGGTCTTCCTCTTCATCGTCGCTCCCAAAAAGGTCAATGTCATCATCGTCGTCTTCCTCCGCAGCAGCTGGCTCAGCTTTCTTGGCTGGTGAAGCAGAAGGGAGCTCCACTTTCTTGGAGGGAACGCTGAATGGCTCCACTTTCTTCATCGGGGTGACGTGCAGTCAAGTTTGCAGTAAGGAAAAAGGGGAGAGGATTAACCTGAAGTTGAATCGCAGCAGCACTCAGGAGAAGCTCAGGAACAGAAGTCTACGTCGCTCAAGAGAGTGAACACAGCCCAAATGATTTGATTTGGGTGAAAAATCAGCTATGAGCCATCAAAATAGGACATTGGACCAGATGGCCCAGCATGGCTGGACTTCTAGAGCAAAACCACCTCGTAGCCAAGAGCTGATCTGTCTCCTAAGGGCTCAGGATATCTAACCATAAGAGCCCGAGTGGGACAGCAGCTGGGAACACAACCAAGCACCTACCCCTGGCAGGAGGAGGTGCCTACACATTCTATAGGCTCACTGCAGAGACCACCAGCACTGTTGGCAGCACGTCTTCCAGCCTACAACAAGAATCGACCAAACTGGTGCCACAAAATCAGCTCCCATGGAGTTTTCTCCTAAATTAAATTAAATACGTTCTCATGGGGGATGTTGGCTAAAAGAAAGCGTCACCAGTTCCACTTATCCGTCGTAACAAAGTGGCGTTTTACCTGACACGTGCCAAGAAATTCATGACATCATGGGCTAAATGTTCATCAAGTATTTATTAAATCCAAACTTTCCCAGATCTGCACCAGCTCTCCCGAGCCGAAACCTCTAACGCAGCTTCTCTGCTGGTCTTAGGACAGAACACTCCTCTCTACACATACTTTTTGGGAAAGATGACAAGGCAGCTGCCAAAACCGCTGGAAAACCTGCCAGCAAACTCATCCTAACTATGAGCATCTCCATCTTCAGCCAGCCACGGAACTTTGGAAAAGACCTGGCGCTCTGCGACAGTGGAACATTCCAGAACAGCGTTTTTGCCAAGGCTCACCTGAGTTGGAGGAACCTGTGAGGGCTGGTGGGAGGTAGATGACTTTTCCAGAGCATTCAGGCGGCTTTCCAACTTGAAGATGGCCATCTGAAGGTCTGCAACAACTGGGAGAAGAAGAGGAGGGGGGGTTGAAACCAAAAGAACCTTGTCTTGTAGGCTCTGCGTCAGCTCTCAAGTCAGGACAAATTTGCTTCTGCTCAAAGTGGGCTTTAAAAACAACCAGTTGCCCCAGTCAGAAGGAAGCTGGCAAAGCTCTGATCAAGACACTGGCACGTGCTCACCTGGCGGCAGACTAAGTCCGTAAAGGACACACCCCACAGAAGCAGGACCCCCATCCAGGTTGGCTTCCATGCCAGAAGGTTCTCCTACTTACCACTGCGAAGGTTTTGATTTTCTACCTCCAGGTGAGAAATTCGGGAAAGGAGCTCGCTTTGGTCACCGGCGGGCCCGGAAGAGGCGGTGTTGGCACTCTGCAACGAGGAAAAGGGAGATGAAACCAACCAGTTCACCTACTGGTGAGCTCAGTGGTTCCATGAAGCAAAGCAGAGTCATGCCTTCAGGGGAGAAGAAAATATGAGAGCGTCTAAGAACACGGACGTTTTCTCAACAGGTTTTACAAAAAAAAATACACTAGCTCTATGGAATGAAGCACGGGACGGATCTCGGGACGCTTCGGCATAGGAGGAGCAGGGAATCGAGTCGTTCCGTGCAGTCTCAGGTCACAGACTCCCACTAAACACGCAACAAGGTTTGGAAGTTCCACGCTAAGCCTCTTGAACGGGGCAGCTGGTCTCCTCTTGCTCACAAATTGAGGCATGGAGCACAGAGTGACCTGTCCAA